GCTTTTGAGTTGTGCTGTTGGCGAAAAATACTGAAAGTACCACGGACTGCCAGAGGAACGAACAAATCCATCCTGGAAGAACTGCAGCCGGGATGCTCCTTGGAAGCGAGAATGGCCAAACTTCATCTCACCTACTTAGAGTCATGTTGACAGAAGGGACCATTCCCTTCTGGATATCATGCCTGGTAAAGTGGAGGTCAGCAAAAAAGGGGAAGTCCATCTCAATGAGATGGACTGACAGTGGCTGCAACTATGGGGTCAGATATAGAAGGACCAGGCATTGTTTTGTTCTGTTGCACACAGGGTCACTGTCGGAGCCGACTCAACAGCACCTAACAACCCCACTCATTGCCTTTTTTCCTTGTTCGAGAATAGAATGGGAGAGTCAAGGTTTTGAGACCAAACCTGACTAAGCACCTGCTTCCTTGCAATTCTTCCACCCCTACCATTACTAAACTAACCCACCTTCAAGTATCAAAAGCCAAATGAGGAACAGTCCTTCTGAGCAAAAGAATCTTTTCTGAAGAAGACTGCGGGGTATACTGTGAGGATTCAATGGTAAAGCAAAACTAACAAAACCAAACTCACTGCCATCCAGTCAATATGGATTCACAGCAACCCTGTAAGACAGAGGAAAACTGCCCTGTAGAGGTCCCAAGGTTGTAAATCTTTACAGAAGCAGACTGCCTCATCTTTTTCCTGCAGAGCCGCTGGTGGGTTCAAACCGCCAACCTTTTTTTTTTTTTTTTTGGTTAGCAGTCAAATGCTTTAACCACTATGCCTCCAGCGCTCCTGAGAATAAGCAAGTGCTTAAGAATTCTGTTACATCTTAAGGGCTGCCTTCTCAGCTTAAATTTAGATCAATCATGAATGGAAATCATCTATCTTCAATTTTCTGCCAAATGAGACATTGTCCTATTAGAAGTGAATGGTTTCTGATCTTCACTATAACATCATTACTAAGCATTCATTTTATGGTCTGGTCTACCTATGATTCGGAGATACAACAGATGAAGACAACCACAAAAGTTTCATCTGGGGCTCTTGGTTATAAATCCCTTGCATTTGCCCAAGTCTTGGGAAAGAAAGTACCAGTAACTTTCACATCTAATATTTCTTCTGTTCTTCACAGCTACATGATGAAGTGAGCATTTTGCAGATGAAGTAAATGAACTCAAAGAATGAAGGGCTTTGAACAGAGCATATAAGACAAAAAACGGGACCCAGGTTCAAAGGAAGCACTCAATAAATACTAACTACATGGCGGCAGGGGGCAGTGGGAGGAGGCAGGTATGGAAGCTCAGCTGGGATTTACCAAACCTCTGCATCTGTACTGCTACCGTGGGCTGCTGTGTGCTCATTCTTTGAAACCACTGTTTCATGGGGTAAAGAGGTTCCCTCAAAACCTCAATGCTAGAGCTAGCTCCAAATCAAAACAATACCACAGAGCAAGTGACCTGCCTTTACTGACTGGGAGAGTAGTACCACCTTTATCCATTTGCCTTGATGCAGATAACTGGGTAATGTGCAGAGATGGGACTTTCTGCACTTAGTTTAAGCATTTACTGATGAGGATCTGGGCTTCAGGATTCTTCAGGTAAGAAAATGAAATAGAGATGGACTCCAGTCATGCTAAACTGAGAATTAGGGTTCAATTCAAACTGACTTCCAGTCCTTTCTTCTCTGGTTTTCTCACCACAAAAGGGAGATAATCTCTTCACAGGAGTTACAAAGATGACTACATAAATTGAATTAATTCATTTCAAAATTAAATTAATTAATTTTAATGTAATTCTAGTCGTACAGAAATTACATCTGACAGAAGTAGATGCTCCTCCCTTCTTGGTATAAGAATCATCTCTGCCATGCTCATGCTACTCCTTGCACCAGAAACAGTACACAAAAAACAGGAGGCAATGCAGAGTGCTTGACTGACAGGAAAACAAAGTCAAGTTCAGAAAGTCTCAGGCAAAGATTTACAACGTTGCCAACAAAGACAGCTTTTCAATCTGAGATAAACTCCCATTAGTGTACTCTGACATCAAATTCTTTTAGCCTTCAAACAAGAGTGGACTTTTGGTGTTTTTTTTTCCACCAAGAATTTAATATTCCAAAAAGGTACGTGAAACAAGTTAAACTACTTGCATATTTCCACTTACATAACATTTATATAGCACATCAGCTTTTATTTTTTCCAGATACAAGGAGATGAAGCTTGGAATATATTCCAGTGGGAGAATAAACTGAAAACTATGTCTCTCTTCTTAATATATTAGTGCCCTGTAATCCAGACCATATGATCAATAAACTATATAAAAATTAAATCATACTGACAGTCTCAGGCAAAAAGTGAACCAAGTAGAAACAATTTTTTTTTTAAGACTGTGGTGTGTGGAATATTGAAATCACATGTTGTGTTATTAATTTTTCTTTTGGAAGCCAAATAGAGTTCGCCTGCTTAAATTTCTCAATTAAACAGTTACCTTTTCAAACAGCTTTTCCTATTAAAGGTGTTAGGCATTTAATTAGTAACATTGTACTTTGGGCTATACTTAGGAGAGCCATTTGAAAATGGCTTTGTCAACATGGTTTTAATGATAGGGCATATATACCTTAAAACAAGTAGATATATGCCTCTCATAATAAAATACATAGTCCTGATACCTTCTTAACTTTTTAGGTAAACTAAATCATTTGTTCAAATGTTAGACCACAGCGATCAAACATTAACAAACAACTGGGTTTATTTATATTAGCCTTATGGGGACGTGAGGATAGTTGGAAGAGATGAAGAACTGAAACCAGAACAAATATACCTCACTTTGGATCTTCAATACACAACAGAGTATCTTTGGGTTTCTAAGTACCTGGCTAACCAACCTATAGCTGGCAGATGTGCCTCTTTTGCAAATCCTTTCCCATTTCTTTTTCCTGTAGTAAAAACACACCATCTCTTGTGATTGCCTTCTGAAATCACAAGAGTGGAAGGAAGGAGGAGGACAATGAAACTGACAAAGGCGTTCAAGCATGTTCTAGTCTGCAATCCTAATCACAAAGGAAGAATTAGGATTCACATCACAGGTGCACAAGCAATTTTCTGGGCCCTAGAAAGAACTTACACTGCAACCAAGCAAACCAGAGTAAACACTGGGAAGCCCCAGGCAAGTTTATAGCAAACAGCTTAGAAATATTTAGTGTTTCCTTATATTCTCCAGGGACCAGGGAGGGTCTTTTCAAAAACACAGTAGTTTGGTTACAAAACTTTAAGCACTCCTCAGTCCCACAGTACTGTAATAATGAACCAGGCTCCTTCAGGAAGGTAGGCCCCCCAGTGACAATTTCTTTACATAGCATCTTCATGTTTAATTTATATGCAGGGAGGTGGGAATGGGCTATGCCACCCGAACTGCAGTGACCTTCCTTCCCTTACACACAACACAATTTTACCTTCAGCAGTCTCCCCTTATGTTAAGTGGCATGCTGTATTTTTTTAAACTCTAAGAATCCCATCTTTCTTTCAAAATTTACTATGGGCAATCAAGCCAAAGGCAGGAGGATCAAAGTCTGGGGAAAACTACAGAAGTAAGGAGCCGGCTACAGAAAGCCTCCTGAACACAAGGGAAGTCTAACTCCAGCACAAGAAGCCTCCAGTTTACACAATCTGCACGGACAAATCCCTTTGAAAGGGTACTTAAGTCTCGGTGCAGGAGTTCTATTTTAAGGGACTGAACGGGGGAACACAGATGTTTCTTCAGTTAGCAGAGTTGGCAGAACAGCTCCTGGACCAAATCCGAGTTCTTAATGCAGGAAAGAGCCCCGGAGAGCATCTAGTTCAACCCACTTATTCAACAGATGAGAAAACTGAGGCCTGTGAGGTAGTATGGTTGCACACACAGCAAGTAGCAGAGTTGCACTCTTCTGATGACAAGTCCTGCAAGCTTTCCATTACACTATGATTTGCTTAAAAAAAAAAAAAAAAAAATCCTAGCTGACTTCAACCTTGAAACTACTGCAGATTCATGTCAATAGCCAACACGCCCCCCCCCACCCGCTCAAGTTCATAAATCATCCTCATTCTCCCACTGCCATTCCTTTGACTCCCACTCTTCTGCTAACTGAGGCTTTCAAATAGTCTAGAAAACAGAAGTGGGCTAGTGCCTCAACTCTCTGAGACTGCAATTTCGGTTACAAAACATGATCATGGCTTGCTCGCCCTGTGCCTCAGTTTCCTCATCAATGCAATGGGGCTGCTCACCTCTACTGCACTGAGTTAGGGAGAGGGCGGATGCCCATGAAACTGCCTAGCACTTGGCACACAGCAGGAGCTCAAGAAAGGGTTTCTGAATCGGAACCCAGCACCAGGCCGCGGAAGAGCACTTTCAATCCCGGGGGATGTACTGGAGAAAAGCAAGGAAAAAAAAAAGAGAGCGAGCTAGCATGCCGCCCAGCGAGGCGGCACCGGCGGAAGGGTTGAATGTTTACATACAGCCGCCGGGAGGCAGCTCCATTCCAGGCAGAAGCCCAACACTCCGGGAGATCCATTTTACTTGGAAGGATGGCAACAAATTATATATTCGGTGGCTCTAAATCATGGTTCAACCAACTTCCCCTTTTCTGAAAGAACGAACCCACACCTTCCTCGCGATTCTGTCCGGACTTCGGAAGACGCGAAACGACTTCCAACCGGAGGGGACTTTTAAAGAGCTCCCCGAACACCTAAGCACGCCTAGCACACTTTACAGGCCCAGCAGTCAGTAGATTCAGGGAGAGCGGGAGCCTCGGGGCCCCGAGCGGCGCGAAGTCTCCTCGAAAAGGCAGCGGGGGCCTCCCGGAGCTGACAGCGCGGGAGGGCGGGCTGCCGCGGCAAAGCGCTGCCTGAGAATGCGGCCGCCGGGGCCCGGAGCCAGCCAGCAAGCGCCGAGCCCCGCGCGCGGGGGCCGGGCTGGGCTGGAACGGGCGCCGAGGGCAGAGGGGCCGAGGGACCGCGGAGCTGGGCTCACCCATGAAGAGGCAGAAGAGGTCCAGGAAGATAAGTAGCACCCGCTTGCTGCCGCTCCTCCTCGGGTTGTTGTTGAGGGCTGGGCTGCCGCCGTTCTTGCTCTCAGGAGCGATCGCCTTGTCGTACTTGTAGCTTTGCATGGCTCTGGCTACGGCGCGAGCACCCTGCCGGGCTAAGACGTCCTGCGACAGCAGCCGCAGGCTCACACGCCCGGGTCGCTTGTTGGCTTTTCCGCCGCCTCCGTCAACCCTGCTCCTCTGAGTGGCGGG